ATATTATTGACACTAATACTTTAAATAAGTGATTATATAAATTATAATTAAGTATTTGTAAACACCCAAACAGGTGCCTTTGGACAAGAGGTAATCGCCTATGTGAACAGACGAACTCGGGACTCATTGCCAAATGACCAATCAGGGTACAGGCACAGTGCACAAATAACGTGTGAACTCGATAATGAACGGATGTGGTTGTGTCTCCTATGAATCTTCATAATTCAATACATCGTGTGTTGTAATGGATACACTTAATGCATGCGTGTGAAATGAAACATTTTCTGAATTTTGGTGCTTGCAATTTTTTGTCACTTTTGTGTGGACTATCATTCTTTTTTTATTTTATTTTTTATTTTTTTGGTACAGGGCATCGAACTCGGGTCCTTGCGCTTTCGAGGCAGGCGGCAGAACCACTGAGCTAAATCCCCGGCCCTATCATTCTTTTTTAAAAATAATATAGAAAACGTTATTTATGTTTCCAGTACAGATCAAAACAAATAAAACCAGAAGTATTTGTAAACGAAAGAATGGTTGCTGCTAAATCAGGAATCATAGCAGTATTTCCTTTCAATAAATTAAATGGTTGAGAACAATGCTTTAAAAAGTTTCACAAGTTTCCCTTAAATCTACTTTCCTTAATATTTTACTTTTGTTTAACGCAAACTAGGACGTGAGAGATTGAGGCCAATGGATCTACAGGAAATGGAGTCCCAGGAAATTCAGGCCAGAATTTGGGGCTTGGAGAGTTATGATGATGTTCCAGTAGAAGGTGACATGACTGTACTTGAATAAATGTAGATTGTTGTACATGAAAAAAGGAAAACATCCTTTAATAAGCTCTGTTGAAGCAAAAAATTAACATAAGAGCCAGTCTTATTTTGGGGGAAATAAAGGAGTGAATTTAAGGGCAGTCTGAATTACATAACACTGTCTCAAAAAAAGAAAAGAAAGGAAAAAAAGACAAAAAACAAAAACTTTCTAAAAAAAATCCCTAGATGAATAAAACCACTGCATATAAACAGGGCCTCTGATATTTTATTGGTAACTAAGTTATTTAGAAACAAATCCAATTAAACCAATAAAAATTTAGAAGGAAAATGCCTCATGGAGCTTTCTGACCCAGCCCTTTTATTCTTAAGCATTTGCTACATTCCAAGTAACTTTCTTACATTAGTTATTAAAAGCAAGAGGACACTTTCAGTAATCAAAAGGGGATTTATATAAGAGTGATAAAATAGGGCTGGAGATTTAGCTCAGTGGTTCCCGCACCTGCCTCACAAGCGCAAGGTCCCGAGTTCGATCTCCGGTACCAAAAAAAAAAAAAAAAAGAGTGATAAAATAAACATAATTTATTCCCTTCCACACCCCCTTCTCCCAATACAGGCCTTTTGCTATAGATATAAATTATTGATCACTTTCAACAACAAGGCTTTTAGTGTTGACTTTCCCATTTCTTTTAAATGATGTGGTATTTTTAAAAGGGTATGCTTTATGTGGCTTAGAAAAAACATCTGGAAGAATATTGCCAACAAACTATTAACAACACTAGACTGAGTATTTCTTAGTAGGCTAGAGAGGACTTTTACTTTACTTCCTTTGGGTTATTTGAATATATGCAAGGAGCATGCATTTCTATTAATCAAAAATAAATAAAAATAATTTTTAGGAAAAAAACCCTCTCACATGTATTTTGTATCTAGCATGGTGATTCAGAACCAGTCACAATGAAAATCTTAATCTTTGTAGCTTTGTTGTAGAGTGCTTATCTGGTATGTACAAGGCTCTAGGTTTGATCCCCAGCACAGCAAGAAAAAAAAACCTTTAATATCTGAGCCTTAACTTCAATTTCTCTACTTATAAAACAGGAGTAATACCACAGAACAATGTTATGAGAAGTTGGGTGTGGTGGTACTTGCTTGTAATCCCAGCACTCAGGAGGCTGAGGCAGGAGGGTCATCACAAGTTTGAGACCAGCCTGGGCTACACAGTGAGTTTAAGAGCAGCCTAAAATACAAAGTGAGACCCTGTCTCATACACACACACACACACACACACACACACACACACACGCACATGCACACACCAGTTATGACAAAATGCTGACCACATAGTAAATACACATTCAATAAAATTTCCTTCTCTGGGCCTCAGTTTTCCTGGCTATAAAGTGAAGAAGAAAGATTAGTTGTCTGTGATTCTTTCTAGAGCTCATATTCTGATTCCCTCTTTTTCTAGTCACAAAGAAGATTGTTAAATGAAAAATAAATGCCTTCACTTGTCTTCAGGTAATTATTTTTCTTTTATTTCCTGAAGGACCAGGAAGCCAAAAACAGATGAGCAGCACTTCAGGAATGCCTGGGCAACTCCACCCCAGGCACCCGGGAAATGACAGGGTATTTCCACTCATTAGAACTCCTTGGGGCTTCCTTAGTAGAGAGAGGGTCAACTTCCATTTTAACGAGCCACTATGTACCATTAAAAATATATACCGACGACTTTGATCTGTGAGCACTCCTGGTTTCCTTTTTAATTAGTGTGCTAACCCATATAGTATTTGCAATTCAGATATCTGCTTAGGCAGTTACATAAGTGCTCCACAATTTATTATATCAAAGTCAGTAGTTAAAGTCCAATTGGAACATTATCACTTAGGGAGGGGTGCATATTAACTGAGTTTACAGAGTTGTCATACTGCTGAAGTGCTAATAATTCCTCATCTTTGATGGTAGTAGGACAATAATTTTCCAATTTTCTCTTTGCTTTTCTGAGACTGAAGAGTAGCCTGGACAATAGCAGTGGTAATATATATTAGTCTTTAAGAAGGTACAAATTTTAAAAGGAAAGAGCAACAACATCAGGAAATATTGCCATTCTCATTTCTCAAAACATGACGTGGTTTTTTATTTAGTTAAAATTTTGTATGGTTACAGAATCAGCGAGGAACACCCACATGCTTTAGAATTCAAAATATCTTATGTATGAGATTTCTTAATTTAAGCCTTTTTTTGTGTGTCTGCCAAGTAACAGTGGGTGAAGAATGCCTTCAATGCCATTTTGGCATTTCCAGTTGCCCCGCGTAGCTTGGTAGGATTCTTTACCCTGCCAGGTTATAACAGTCCCAGTTTTTCTTGTACAGAAAAGTCCATTCTGCTTAACAATTTAAGCGATGTTACAGTCGAACTGAACATAGAGACATCTTTTGTTTTTGTATTTATAAACTAGTCTCTCCATATACAGAAAATAACTAGCTCCTAACTATATTTGGAGGGCTGGGAGAATTCTTACTATTATCAATAGTAATAAAAATTAATATACTCAGAGTATATACTGTTATCCAGGAATCCTGGTTGAAATTTTGTTTTGCCTTATCTTACTTAATCATAACAAGATTCTGTGAGATATTATCTACTTTGTAAAAGTTCTGAAGTTTGTTGCAGTGCCTACAAGTTCTTTGGCAACTAAACCACATTTCTGACCCCTCCCACACCTTCCCTTACCTCTTCCGTTCCAATAGCATAGACCTCTTTGTAATCCCTTAAAAGTTCTGTTCTCTCAAGTCCTTTTTGAAAGTTTTTCGATTTTGAGACTAGAGCTCTTTAAGTTCCCCAGGCTGGCCTCAAACTTGAGATCCTCCAGCCTCAACTGTCCCAAGTAACTAGAATTTCAGGTGTGGGCCACCATACCTATGCTTCCACTACTCTTTCTTTACTCCATTACAGTAAGCGAGGACCTTCCTGGGTCATGATCTAAGCTGTAAGCAATTTGAGGGAGTCTTGTTTTCTTCTTCCTCTTCCTCCTCCTCCTCCCTCTTTATCTCCTTTCCTCTTCCTCTTTCCCCTTTCTTCCTCCCCTTCCTCTTCCCCATATTCCTCCTCCTCTTCCTCCCCTCTTCTTCCTCTTTGTCTCCTTGTTTTATTTTCAGGGCCTTTCAAAGTATCTGTTTTCCAGTAGGTATTCAATCAAATTATTATAGAATGAATGAAACAATGCTTATAAATTCATGACTTTTAAATTCATGCAGAGAACTCAGGGATTTGTGGAAAGGCTTTCTTTGTTTCATATAAGCCTAAAAGTTACCAGAAGTGAAAAATTCCCTTGTCTTCCCTCCCCTCCTCCCTTCTTTATTTCTTTTCCTGGCACTGAAGATTGAACTCAGGCCCTTCCCACTGAACTACATCCCCAGTTCTTTTTTATTTTGAGATAGAAGCTTGCTAAGTCCTTAAATTGCCAGGGCTAGGCTTGAACTTGAGATCTTTTGCCTCAGCCTCCCAGAGTTCTAGGATTACAGGCATGTGTCACTGGCTTCATCTTTTTTTTTTGTACTAGGAATCAAACTCAGGGCCTCACACTTGCCAGCTAGGCGCTGTGCGGCGAGCCACATGCCAGGCCCTTCATCTTTTTATAATAAAACATTCCAACGTGTCCCTATTACTCTCTAGGATACAGTAGTAACTCAATACATATTTGCTGAATTGAACAGGCTTAAAAGCGTATGTAAGGTATTAGGGATGAGGGTGTAGATCAGAGGTAGAGCATCTACCTAGCCAGGGCAAGGCCCCGAGTTTGATCCCAGGCACCATTTAGAAGAAAAATATGTAAGGTTTTCATAATATGTTTATTCTCTCCAGATTCACTTTGTGCCACTCCTACTTTATCCTCTAATGAGTAACAGTATTTAATTTTCATTCAGTGGGTCAAATATTTACTTAGCCACTGTGCCAGGCCCATTTCTTTTCTTGCTATCCCTCTTTCTGGTGGTTCTCCTCTCTTCCTACATCAGTTCCTTTACCTCTCCAAGAAGGCATCCTGACCCCTTTAGGACTCAGTGATTGCCTCTCAGCCCTGATTACATCGAAGTGAAGTTATCTGTGTTCAACAACCCCCTCACCCCCATAACACCTGCTGAACTCTCAGAGGACAGGAAAGGAGGTTTTGTTCACCTGTGTCCGTAGGGCCCAGCACAAAACCCAGAACGGAGCTAAAACCCTAAAAGTAAATATAGAAACGAATAACTACTCTTTATTGAGCAATATGATTTAACACTTTGAAGTCTCTAGAACAAGAGAGTTAAGTATTATTATGCTCATATTATAGAAGAGACAAAGAGGTTTGAAAAAGTTTAGAAACTTGCCCAAGGTTATACAGTGGTGTATCCTGTTGTCACAGGAATCTGAAGAATGACAACAGTGATTCTACATGGTTAAGATTCCTTCTCATCTGGTAGTTTTCATTTTGCTTTTGCCAAGTGTTTTCTTCTCTAGGCCAATGACTCTTTTATCTACCTTACGATAACGAGTGGGGGGCAATGCTCTATTTTTTCATATTGGAATTCATCCTTCTCTGGAAGCCACAGGATCTGAAACTCTGAAGTTTCACTTCTTCCCGACTGAATCGAGGTAGGAGTCCTGAGCAACATAGTAGGTCCAGTGAGAAGGACAGTCATTCGAAATGGAATAAAAAAGAGTTCTGGCAGGAAACACAGCGAAGAATTAACCGAGGAAAGATGATACTCATAGCTGAGGATCCTGAGACTTACGGAGTTTGGTTGTTCACAGCTAAGACGGTTACGGGTCACTGTGTTGCCCTCAGCTAAGATGCCTGCCAATAAACATCTTCTTTGAGTGGTCTGTCCTCTTTGCTCGTTACTATTTTCAGGGAAAACTACAGTGAATAAAATTTAATAAAAGTTAGACCTTTTTACTAAGAAGGTAAAACAGAAAGTTGGTATGGGTAATTTATAAACACTTGCTCACACAAATTCTTCCTTGCCCGTAACCAAAATGGTCGTCAAAGGTTTTCCCGAGGTTTGAAGCTTTCAGCCCTTAACTAAGATGCCACCCAAAGGCACGTTAAAAATTAGCCTGCCCTCTTTTCTGCCCTTGACCAACATGGCTTTCAAGGCGTCGTTCACGTGACATCCTCTGACTACGGCAAGGGAGAAGGGATAGGAGGGCCCTTGAAAAGGGTGCGCGTTCCCGTGGCGGTGCACCGGGTAGGTTTCAGTCAGAGTCACTATGGCGGCAGGCGCTGGCAAGGTAAGCTGAGGTGGCGGCAGTGGTTAGGGAGGCAAAGCCATTCGTGGCGTCTTGGCTCCAAAACCCCGCAGGCTGCCCGCGGATAGGTCGGCCGAGGTCGTGGCCGGCGGTCCGGGCGGGCGGGTGGCTGGCTGAGGGGCACTAGGGCTGAGACGGGCGGACACCGGCTCCTGACGGCCGTTTGTTTTGGTGTTTTTCCTACCAGGTCGGAAAGTTTCCTGCCTCGTCGGGCACAGCCTGAGCTTACTCCACTGGCCACGAGTGGTGGAGGCTGCGGCGGACCCAACCCGGGGCCTCCAGGCCTCTCCCTCAACCTCCGGGCCAGTCTCCCTCCCCCACCTCCGCGTTCTCCCGGAGCTGCGGCTGCCGCCCCTGAGATGCGACCCTCTTGGGGGCGACCCTGACCGGAGGCCACCCGTGTGCTGGGCTGCAGCGGGAGCCCCGGCGTCTAGAAATCAACTTCCCGCCCGCCGGGACACCCAAGCCTCCCAGGGGTAGAGCCTGCTTCGGTCCGCACCGGCCTGCAGAGCCGGGTCCCCGCCCTGGTCGCGGGGACGCCCGCCAGGTGCCCGGGTGTCGCGCCTCTGCCGCTGCTGCGCCCCCGCCAGCCCCCGGTCCTCGCGCCTCGGACTGCCGAGGCGGCTCGAGCCTCGCCCGGGATCCCTGCCCACTCCGGGTTGGCCTCCGCGCAGCAGGGGCAATGCTGACTGTCCGGCCGGCCCTCTAGACCCCTTCGTCGTCCCCTTCGCTTCGCGCCGCTCCGGGCCCTTAAAGAGCGGCGGTGGCTGCCCAGAGGTGCTCAGCTACACCTTCCTTCGGCCCGGAAAGACCTTCCCGGCCGCACCGAACCGACCCGTCCTTCATGCTGCAGTGCTGCAACGTTTCCGCCACCGAGGGGGAGAATCGGCCGCGATCTCAAACAAAACACAAGAATTGGTGTGTGACTCATCTGCTTGGATACCTCCAGTCCCCAAACTGTCTTCCAGGAGTTTTCTTGGCCGAAGCTGCCCGATGTTTGAGCCTTTTCTTCCCAAGGAAGATGGACTGAAAGCTGCCAGTTGGGGACTTTTTGTGATCAGAGCGCTGTTGTGCTTTAGAGGAGGTGATGGGGTTTTCTCTGGCTTGTCTTCCCACCCAAGTGAAGAGCTGTTAATGTTCATTGGTTATGCTTAGACAATGTGCAGTTTGTTTTAATTTAAAATTTTGGGGGGGATAGAGGTATAGGCTTGTGAAGAGCATTCCGAATCTGGAGGAACACCTCATTGTCCCTGGTAGAAAGACAAACCCAGTCTGTCCTCGATGCCGTCAGCCTTGGCCATCTTCACTTGCCGCCCAAACTCGCACCCTTTTCAGGAGCGTCATGTCTACCTGGACGAGCCCATCAAAATCGGCCGCTCAGTGGCACGTTGTCGACCAGCGCAGAATAATGCCACCTTTGATTGCAAAGTGCTGTCAAGGAACCATGCTCTCGTCTGGTTTGATCACAAAACAGGCAAGGTAATGTCACCACACTAACAATCTTTTTGTTTCCTCTTGTCCTCTCTGAGAAGCCTAATGTATGCAGGATCCCAGGGTTTGCACCCAGAGGACACTTCCAGCAAGGCCAGGGATCAACTTTTTCTGTGCCTAATTCTAGTGGAAATTTAACTGAGTTGGTTGAATGGAAAACAGAGACGGTATTGTAATTAAATGCCTCAGTAGGGTGATGGCATCCTGATAACGTGGTCATTCCCAGTGAAATCCCAAACCCTAATTCATTTCAGAAAACTAGATAGTGAAACTTGGCATCTTGCTTTCTGTCTTTTTAGAAAGGTGAATCTGCAGTTCAGTGCTTGATTAAGCAAGTAGAAAGCAGTTCCCAAAGCAATTCGGGGAATCTGGCCAGTATTATTGCACTGGGGCTTTAGTGCCTGGTGATGAAAGGTACTTAACGTGTAGCTTTTAGTTGAGTTCATTCAGGGCTTTTCTAGTAAGGGTAATTCCTCTTGTAAAGCTAATGTTTTTGAAAGGTTTGATACATATTTAACCTTGTAGGGATAATTTGCAATAATCAAAAGTAATAATTTAGTATGAATAACTGTAACTTTACATTTTGAAGTTTTGTTTACAAGTTAGGTGAAAATACAGCTATGGCTTTTGAAAATCACTTTTTGATGTTCCTTGCATCACTTATTTAATAAACAGTGCCTACTTACAGGGTGATTTTCAGGTATCAGTGTTAGAAAATTTTCTGAAATTATCTCCAGTGCTATCAATTATAATATTACTTAAATATAATAGGATAATTTCAGTGCTTTCTCATTTTCAGTGTAGCTATTTTTAGCATTTTAGCATTTTAGCACTCTAGCACACTACTACACGTGTTCTTACATTTTAGGAAATCAAGAGTAAGATCCTTTCAGTTTTTCAAAAGTCTTATTTATGTGTGTGTAAAGTATACCAGTTCATCTTTGACTATAAACCTCGGGTTTTAGTTAAACTACTGGATCAGTTCCAACTTTAAGTTATGTAAGACTGATAGAAATAACTTAGGTTCCATCTCCTGACTTTTTGCCCCCTCTAAGTTAAATGATTAAGTATTTCTTTAAAAGAAGAGTTTTTAAGCCTTTAAGAATAGTGTTTTGAAATGAAAGAAACCTGAACCTCAAAAGGAAGAGAGAAAGCAATACTTCTGCAGCCACTGAATTAAGGAATTATTATATAAATCATCTTTTTAAAAAGGAGGAAAAGATTGCCCAAGTGCTGTGCTTGCATAATACCTATAACCTACTCTGTGTGTAGGATGAGAACTGAAAAGTATGTTAATTTTTCTCTGTAGCACCAGATGCTCATTTACCTGTGGAACAGACTCCTTTATCTCCCTGGAAGCTGACTTTTGGGTGCCTCAAGACTTCATAGATCACCTGTAGTCCTTTAAAATGAATATTTATAAAGCTCATCATTCCACCTATCAGTTAACTACTAGTGCCTTAACCAGCTTTTGTATTTTTGCCTTTTTATGTCTCTGGGAAACAGGTCACTTACAGTACATACGTTCACTTACAGTATAATTGGATAACAGGTTTACTTACAGTACATAGTTTGCAAATGTACTTTCTTTGATTCAACAATTAAAGGAGACACATTTTTTAAGAAGTGATTACATGCATGGTACTTTGCATGGCTGTACTAAAACCCTCACAGGTTTTTTTTATTTGTTTTTTTCTTTGTTGTTTTTTGAGACAGGTCTATGTAGTTCAGGCAAGCCTCAAACTCACTATGTAGTCCACTCTGGCCTCACACATGTGGCAGTCCTGATCCTCCTGTCTCAGCCTCCTGAGTGCTGGGATGACAGGTGTCTGCCACCACACTTGGCATCCTCACAGTTACTTTGAAGTGACTAGGAATAGATAAATCTTGATTGCTTAGTTACTAATTTAGATGACATGTTAACATTTTGAATGGAATTTGTTATTTAGAAAAACTTACCTTTGGGCTGGGGGTATAGCTCAGTGGTAGAGTGCTTGCCTCTTATATGCAAGGCCCTGGGTTTGATTCCTAACACTGCAAGAAAACAAGAAAAGAAAAACTTACATTTGCAGGATAGGGTTGGTTTATTCCTACCATTTTCACTCTTTCCGTCTGCTTTAATAGCTAAAGTAACGTTTAGAATATGAAGCTATTACTTTATGTGTAGGTAAAATTATTGATTATTGTTCCAACCAATCTACTTAGAACAAATAACCTTTCAGATCTTGCCATGTCATCAGCTTGTTTTAGGAATTAACTATTTGAAGTTTTAGTTTGGACAGACAGGTTTTTATTGAGCATCTGTTGTGTGCCAGATGCTGGAATGTGCTAAAGAAAATACCAATTTGACTAAATATCATTTATTGCTTTCTATGTGAAATATGTAGTTTGGAGATTTCTACTGTAATTGACTCATAATAGAAGAAAGCAATTCCTGTATGTAACACAAGAATCCCTTTGTGGAAGTACCACGCAAGTTGTTTTTAATTTTTTGTAATTAAAAAAATTTTTTTTATATTTAAAATTTTTTTTGTACCAGGGATCAAACTCGGGTCCATGCACTTGTGGGGCAGGCAGCTGAGCCACTGAGCTAAATCCCCAGCCCTATGTTTGTTTTTTAAACATTTTTAAGCCCCCAGTTTTCTTATGTAGGAATAATTATGGTACATACTAGTGTGTTTGTTAGGGATCCAACCTAGGGCCTTGAGCATACTAAGCACCTGTGCTATCACTGAGCTATATACCCTTCATCCCCTCCTTTTATCGTTCTGAGGATTGAGATAATTTTGTAAATCACTTAGTACTCTGTGCCTGGCTCTTAATTAAGGACTCAGTACTTAGGAAGGGTGTTTGTGGGGGAAGAGGGAACCATCTAGATGCTTTGCAATTTGCAGTTGTACTGTGGACTGGTAAGAAGTATTGAAGCTGGGTGGCAGTGGTGCACGCCTGTGATCCCAGCACTTGGGAGGCTGAGTGAGGCAGGAGAATCACAGTGAGTTTGAGGCCTGCCTGGGGCTACATAGTGAGTTCAGGGCCAGCCTGAACTACAAAGGGAGACTTTACCTCAGAAAACAAACAAAAACAAAACAAAACAAAAGAGAAGGTAGTGAGAAATTATATTCTTTCATATGATGGCACATGTGAAATAATTTTAAAAATAGAAATTAATGAAGTTGATAAATTTGTCAAAATAGACATTTTATCTGAGAGGTGGAAAATTGAAGTAATATTTTTGATTGACTTAGTTTGTGGGTGACTTACATTTTACATTGATCATCATGGGAGGTCCATTAAAAGCTGGAAGAGGGGCTGGGGATTTAGCTCAGTAGTTTCGCCACCTGCTGCACAAGCGCAAGGACCCGAGTTCAATCCCCGGTACCAAAAAACAAAACAAAACAAAAAAAGCTGGAAGAGCCGGGGATATGCTCAGTGGTTCCGCCGCCTGCCTTGCAAGCTCAAGGACCTGGGTTCGATCCCTGGTACAAAAAAAAAAACAACAAAAAGCTGGAAGAAATAATGAACATTTGAAACTTCTTGATTATTCAAGTATTACAAATTGTAGAAAATTTGCAAAATGTAAGCAGATGGAAATGTAGGTGACACTTCTTAATGCTGAGTTAATGGAATGTCTTACTGTACTTAAATCTGCATGTTGGAGGTTGACAGGTTTGCCACAAAGTAGAATTTAATAATCTTTCCCATATCATCTTCTCAGGGATGTAACAGTTGCCCTGTTTGGATGCTGGCTCTGTGTATTATCCTTTCCTCTCTCTTGGAGTCCAAACTCTTCAGATTAGCAGATAATAGAATGCTTATTAATTCTTCACTTGACTCCCAAGTACCACCGAGCAAGCAAATCTATCCAAATGGAAGTTACACAAAAGGGATTGTGAATGAACTTGTGATTTGGAGGACCTTATTTGATTTACAGCTTTAGGAACTGGTTGATGCAGTAGTGTACAGCAGTAGTCTTCCAGTCTCACTGTAGTTTATTTAATAATAGTTGTCTGTTGCCTGTCTCATTTTTTGCCTAAATTCAATGTGTAGGTTTGAGTACCTGTTTAGCATGACAGGGAGGGGTGGTGAGGGGGCAGGAACTTGGAAGAAGTATTTATTTTTTCTAAGAGCATATTGTATATGTTGGACAGAAAAGTTGGTTATACACCATGAAAACAGTTAATTGAGGTAATATATGACATAAAAGTGATGGTTTTTGAATTAGACTTTAAAATTAATTGGTGTGGAGAACCAGGTGTGGTGCATGTCTGTAATCTCAGCACTCAGGAAGCTGAGGGAGGAGAATTACTGTGAGTTCGAGGCCAGCCTGGGCTACATGGTGAGTTCAAGGCCAGTTT